TCTACTCCACTCTCGATAACGAAGACCTGAGTGACGATCAACTCTATGAGGGCGTCGATCACTACGACGACGGACTCACTGGTGATAAAGATATATATTTTGCGGATAACTATTACGAGGATAATGATAGTGATATCGACCGTATATATGAAGTGTTGCCCTTTGAAAAAGACATGGAAACAGACGGTGAAAGTATTACATCCAACACATCGACCATTGATTTAGACGAATATCTAAACGATGAGCTGAACAAACAAAGCATTAGCGAAGTGAACGCTGAAGAGCAGTCAAAAAGCGATCAAAAAATGGATTCATCGGAAAGAAAGCGAAATCTCAAAGCAATGAAACTGAAGAAGAAATTTAATTTAAATGGCGATGAGATTCCTCACTTGCGTCCGTAACAATTCCTCCTGTCGTTTCCCTTAGCTAACCTAGAGATACAGGCGTTTCCTCTCTGCCAAGAGTATGACGCTTACCTCCGGTTGGGAGGGCCGTTTACCAACCGGTTCTTACAGAGGTCGAGAATCGGTTTCGTCAACTTAGACAACATCTCCTTCGACGCCGAATCCGTTAAATCCATTATCAAAACACTGACCGCTTCTCCAAACGTGTGACCTTTTGATTGATTGCAAACTTCATATATATATTATATATACAGTATTTTTATATTAAATTACAAAAAGTATTTATAACATAATTTAAAACAACTAACACAATATTTTATATACTATTTGTTTTGTATTCATTTGGAAATGTATTTTATACGTGACTTATTAATCGAGAATTACATGTTTTCTCATCACCGGTTGAATATGATATGCAATAATGTTTTTGCAATGATTTAAAGCATAAATTTTAAATTTTGTTACTTTTATTTATAATTTATTAGAATTTATAATAAATATTGTTTTTAAAATTTATTTTAACTTTTTTTTGTTGGAAGAATTCTAAGCACAAAAGGAAACTAAAATTAATTATATTCAACAGAAGAAATGGTCCCAAAAATAATAATTAACTGCATTTTTGTGTCTGAAATGATTAGACAATTGAAATACAAAGCATTAGAATATAAATTAAAAGATGAAATAATTATATAAAAAGCAAATTAGAGGATAATATATAGATAGGTATATAAGGTATGGAACGACCCATTAATTGGTAGCAATTTTTGTGCATATATTTCATATCAAATCGTATTTTCAGACATACATTACAGTAATTCCTAAGTCATAGGAATATTTATAATTCTTTTTAATAAAAACAAATAAAATTAGAATTAATTTAATTTAATATTATTTGACGAAAGAGGCGAAGACGGCCCACATTATCTCACAGGCACTGCCTTTAGTGCTCTCCACCTCCATATCTAAGTCTAACAGCTCTCTAACCCTTTTCATCGCCACTTCGTAGTCATCATCACTGAAAGTAATTATCAAATCATATGTCAGTCAATGGTTTTAGTTGTACTGCCTTTAGTGCTCTCCACCTCCATATCTAAGTCTAACAGCTCTCTAACCCTTTTCATCGCCACTTCGTAGTCATCATCACTGAAAGTAATTATCAAATCATATGTCAGTCAATGGTTTTAGTTGCTATGATTCGAGGCAACAGACCTGAGGGGCGCGAATGCATTCTCCAACACATCGGAACTGTGGGCCAGAAGTATGAGTGAAAGTAACCGTTTATCCATACGGTGCGGATCATTAACCCATTTGGTTAGCACTGAGTCCTGCACCTTCTTTACTAGTTTACTTTTGGATCCGCTGTCGACGAGTGGATGCGTTGTCATATCGAAGAGTAAGAAGTTCTGCTTCTCAGTGGTCAGCACTCCCTTCTCCACTAAATTCTTGGCCAGTCTTTCCCTAACATTCTTCAGTTGGTACCGAAGTTTCAATGGATTCCAAGTCTCGCCTAAAAAGGACACAAAAAATCCATTCAAATATATGACACAATTATTGTTTGGCAGAACTGACCGCTCAAGTAGTCGATCCACGACTGAAGCGTTTCCGGCGGTTCCGTCTCTTTGATGTGTTTGAGTGCTTCGTCCAGAAGGACGTCACCCGTCGGCGAACCGTTCTTTAAGAGCACTTTTCTCAGCAAAAGAGATCGTCGGCGGAGACCAAGCCTTTCGAGTTGTATGTCTCAATTGTTGTCTCTCTTCTTCGTTGTAAAAGAGGTGACAGTTATCGATGAGAGCATTGAAATAGATTTCCAGCGAACTCTTAAATTCCGACACTATTTGGGACTCATTTTCTTCGGTGATCACAGAGTTTGGATCACTTGTTAGACTGATATTAGTGTTGAGAGTGAACTCATCGATGATTTGAGACACATTCGGCTCAATCGGCAGTTTGTAAAGCGATCTCTCGATTACACAATGCGTAAAGTCTTTGTCTAAAATGGCTTTTAAGTCGTTTGTCAGACAATAGATGAGTGACTGGGAGTCGGACTCTTCGTAAGTGTTGGTCTCAGAGGTGGCGGACATTGTGTTGCCGTCGTTGCTGACACTCGTCCGCACACTTGTCCGGCAACTCATCCACGAATTGTGATCATCAGAAGAAGAAGAATGTCTGTCAGTGTCCTCTTGTGTGAGCTCTTCGTCCACATCCGATCCATTGGTGTCATTGTTAGCCGATTGAAGGCTATTGTCGTCATTTGGTGGCAAAGTATTGCCAGAATTGACGACAATCTCCTTAATAATGGCCGGAATTTTGTTGAGTTTGAGTTTTTTGCCCTTCAAAGCGATGGCCGCCTTCTCTGCCAAAGACCTCTGAAGGGATCTGTTGTGTAGATTGTCTTTAACGATATCGCATTCCTTCACAATCCGATCCCACGAAGAGTTCCAGCCGTAGAAGTGAACCAAATATTGCGGACACTTCTTGCCGTTGGGATCCTTTCCGACACAACACTCGAGTACTCGCGACTCGTATAACACCTTCGCCTTCTTCGGGTCGGGTTCGTAGCTATGGATCAGATCAACACATCAACACTTCATACGACAGCACTTCCAACACATGACAATCAATACATACCACAAGACTTTCTCATTCTCGCAGAAATTGAATCGTATTTTGCGTTTTGAAACCATTTCTCAAATTATACTTCAATTCAAAACCAATTGTTTACCAAATATTTCACATTTGAGTCAAACGTCAAAACAAAACACATTTTTAATCCAAAACTCGTTCACAACAATCGTTACGCGATATTAGAGTTGCGTTCAAAACAAACCCTGTTTTGGGCTTTAATTTCCCAAAACATGCATTTATTCATTCATTTTCAGCACAAATCACTATAATTTAAAGTTTCGTTCATTTAATTAAAAAACTTTTAATAAAATAATTATTTTCTCATATTTTGTAAAATAAATGGATTTAATAATAGAAATAAAGTGCAAATATATGTGACAAATGTCGGGACGGGTTGGGAGTGAAAAGTATGTGAACTCTAGTGTAGAGTCTATGCAATGATTGCATTAATGATGAAGTGATGGGAATGTAATGTATGTCAGGGTTTGTCTTAAAATGTCTTCAATCAGCGCTCACTTCTGATCCCATCTCAAGACAACGCATCCCTTCAGCGCTTGTTTGCGCGCATTTGCCGTCCATTTCTTCGCTAATGGATTGAATCGAGTCTTACATCACATAAAAGCCTTAATTATGATCGACTGAAACCATGGACTCGAAGGCCGACCACAAACATGTGGCTCAAGAAGTGGACCAATCGATGGCTCCAACCGTTCACTCATTGAAGATGTTTTTCCAGAACCAAAAGCAACCGATTATTGGAGTGAAACACGTGTCAGACAATCACTTGGAGACCACTTCTTCCTCATCTTCAGTGCAATCAAATCAATCAAAAGCGCCTCCAATAGAGTCGTCGGCCGATAAATCTTATAATCGGAACAATCGGGTGATCCCAAGACCTCCACAGCCTATTCAAAGTTCGGACATAAATGTCTCGCCATTTCATAAGCCATTGAACACGAGTCCAATGGGAGGACCGGTTCCTCCCGTCCCTAAACCGCGCAAAAGTTTAATCAAACATCAAAGCAGTGACCGCTTGTCGGCAGCGAATGCCTCTCAGGGATCAAGTGATGTCCATCTCATACCAAACTCTTTGATCGTTTCGTTGACTAAAGAAATAAATGAATTGAATCTAAAGGACGACAAATCCAGAGCTCATTCCTTGCAATGTTTGCCGACCAATGAATCCTTGGATTCAACGCCAGAAAACTCATTGTGTGGAACAACTGATGAGATAATCGGATCTGTAATCCCAAAGACGGACCCAAACGCAACAAAAGCGCCGACGAAACCGCGAAATCGCAATACTTTCAAAGTATTACTCAAAAAAAGTAAATTATTGTCTCTTCGCAAAAGAAGTGCTCAAAAAAGTGATACAAAATGCCAAACAAATAGCGACTCAACTGTGAGTTATGCGAAGCCCGTAAAGCCGACCCGACTTCCGCCCAAACCTCCGATCTTACAGTTCCGACCGCCGGCTCCGTTGCCTTCTAGTGAATCCAGAGATGACTTCTATGAGGACACACTGCCTGAGTGTCCGGCAGTCGGCAGTGGATTACATGGAATGCCCACCGGATATGAACTGTACAACGATTCGGTCGATTTTGAACAAATCTACTCCACTCTCGATAACGAAGACCTGAGTGACGATCAACTCTATGAGGGCGTCGATCACTACGACGACGGACTCACTGGTGATAAAGATATATATTTTGCGGATAACTATTACGAGGATAATGACAGTGATATCGATCGCATATATGAAGTGTTGCCCTTTGAAAAAGACATGGAAACAGACGGTGAAAGTATTACATCTAACACATCGACCATTGATTTAGACGAATATCTAAACGATGAGCTGAACAAACAAACCATTAGCGAAGTGAACGCTGAAGAGCAGTCAAAAAGCGATCAAAAAATGGATTCATCGGAAAGAAAGCGAAATCTCAAAGCAATGAAACTGAAGAAAAAATTTAATTTAAATGGCGATGAGATTCCGGTGAACGCAGGCATTGTTAAGGAGGACAGCAAAGGGAATCGATTGGATCTCTATGTCCGCAAAGGAGAGACGGTTCTCATACTGCGAATGGAGGCCAACCCTCCCGGCAAATGGTTGGCCAAGAATGNATTAATTATATTCAACAGAAGAAATGGTCCCAAAAATAATAATTAACTGCATTTTTGTGTCTGAAATGATTAGACAATTGAAATACAAAGCATTAGAATATAAATTAAAAGATGAAATAATTATATAAAAAGCAAATTAGAGGATAATATATAGATAGGTATATAAGGTATGGAACGACCCATTAATTGGTAGCAATTTTTGTGCATATATTTCATATCAAATCGTATTTTCAGACATACATTACAGTAATTCCTAAGTCATAGGAATATTTATAATTCTTTTTAATAAAAACAAATAAAATTAGAATTAATTTAATTTAATATTATTTGACGAAAGAGGCGAAGACGGCCCACATTATCTCACAGGCACTGCCTTTAGTGCTCTCCACCTCCATATCTAAGTCTAACAGCTCTCTAACCCTTTTCATCGCCACTTCGTAGTCATCATCACTGAAAGTAATTATCAAATCATATGTCAGTCAATGGTTTTAGTTGTTATGAGTCGAGGCAACAGACCTGAGGGGCGCGAATGCATTCTCCAACACATCGGAACTGTGGGCCAGAAGTATGAGTGAAAGTAATCGTTTATCCATACGGTGCGGATCATTAACCCATTTGGTTAGCACTGAGTCCTGCACTTTCTTTATTAGTTTACTTTTGGATCCGCTGTCGACGAGTGGATGCGTTGTCATATCGAAGAGTAAGAAGTTCTGCTTCTCAGTGGTCAGCACTCCCTTCTCCACTAAATTCTTGGCCAGTCTTTCCCTAACGTTCTTCAATTGGTACCGAAGTTTCAATGGATTCCAAGTCTCGCCTAAAAGGGACACAAAAAATCCATTCAAATATATGACACAATTATTGTTTGGCAGAACTGACCGCTCAAGTAGTCGATCCACGACTGAAGCGTTTCCGGAGGTTCCGTCTCTTTGATGTGTTTGAGTGCTTCGTCCAGAAGGACGTCACCCGTCGGCGAACCGTTCTTTAAGAGCACTTTTCTCAGCAAAAGAGATCGTCGGCGGAGACCAAGCCTTTCGAGTTGTATTCTTCCTCTGAGAGCCAACTCTATAAGAATACAACCTCTGAGTCCAGTGGAGATGCAGTCGTTCCAGAAGGACGTATAGCCCTAACCATCGCAACAATCCATACCATCAGTCACTGACATTACAATCATTTCAATCAAATACCTCTTTGTCTTTGAGTCCTAAGAGAAGCACTTCTTCCATAAGCGTAAGTCTGGTTTCCTTAGAGTCGATGTCTTCGTCGGCCAACTCGTGGCCATGACTTGTGTTTGGGTCGCCATTAGAGACACTATCGGTGCCATTATTGCCACCATTTGTCTTATCATTATTGGAACTATTGATATGAGTTCTTCGTTGAACCAAACCTTCTGAACGATTCATTTCATATATAAAATCACTTCAATATTGTCTTCAATTGTCTCAACACTTCTCGACACACAATTCAAAGACAAAATATTTGTAATTAAAAAAATAATATTTCAATCATTTGTTTGCAAAATACTGTTTCAATCATTGAATCAATTAATCACTCATTTCTTGTTGTGATTCAAAGAAAACACAGATTTGTAAACACTTTGAGTGTTGTCTTCAAATCAAATCCAAATCACTATTAAATCCCGAAATAAACGATTGAATGAATGAATTGAAGCAAAATATTAGTAATTTGTTGTGTTTTAATTGAATGTATGTTTAAATACTAGATATGAATAACAAATGAATGAATTGAGTGTTTAGTCAACTGTTGTCTCAATGTTTTTGAATGCCTTTTAACGCCATTTAATGTAGAAATGCATAGAAATGCTAGAAATGCATGACATCTATAATAATACAGACATTACAGGCATTACACTAACCATTCATACAATGCTTTTAAACACAACACTTATTACTAATACTTTAATTCATAATTCACACAATCAATGATAGCAGCGATCAATACTGAATATATGATTAATACAATTAAATCAATGAAAACACTGTAATTATGGTTAGATTTGGCAATATTTGCAATGTTTCACACTTTTGGATACTTCAGACAGTTTGACATGAATTGAGTGTGGATTCAAAGTTAGAGCAATAGGTGTACCGTTTGTTATACGGCTCGAGTGATCACAATCTCATACACTCTCCTATTCTTTAACTATTATTTCAAATTCTGGTCTCTTTTGAAGACCATATGATTGACACATAAATTAATATTATTTTCCAAATACTTTATTAATAGTTGTAATTCTATGTGGAGTTTAGTTAACATTAATGATACTCAAAGTCATTACACTTTTTACAGTACAACATCTGTAACTTTACAATATGTTTGGCCATACATTACATATTTTTATATCCTCATCACCACCATGTACACTTTTCATGTAATCGAGAGAGAGAGAGAGAGAGAGAGAGAGAGAGAG